AAAAAAAAAAAAAAAAAAAAAATACTTGAATACTAAAGTATATTAATGCATGGATTGGATGCATGGATGTAAGAAATATTCGAATATGTTTACAGTTTCCCTGCTTGTGAGTGTTCAAATACTTTAGAATGCTCGAACAATTGAATATACACACTCGGCTGCTTTTTGTTATACAATCCACGAATGAAAACTTCTTCAACGATGAAACATAGTAACACATAATTTGTTCCACAAAGGGTTAATTATTGTACAACATCGAATGAAAACTGTTAGAAATTGATATATCTCTTCGAAATGATTTCGAATCGCCTTTGGAAGCGCGGACGGCAAGGCGAAAAAGTCGAGGACGAATTTCTTTACGTTGAGGACGAAATTGGAAGGAGAATATAGTAACTGATAACAGTAAGAATAACCGAGAAACAAAAAAAAAAATATTTCCTCTGGTTTGTTCCTGGCAGTAGCGTGAAGGGAAGGGAAGGGACGGTGGCATGAGGCTGGCTCGGTTTATGGACATAAATTAGAGCTACCTGTGTCTATCGTACGAATTTCCACTTAAATGTGCAGTCTTAAGTGAGGAGAACATAATTCATTTGCAATAACGTATGCATAAATAACATTCACTTGGACGTTTAGATAAGGAAATCGAAGAGGTAATGCATAGAGCAAATAGTAATGAAAATAAAATTGGGAAAATAATGTAAAACAAAAAAAATAATGCTGAAATTTTATTCCATTTGTTGTTAGCTAATGTTAACTAGGGGGAAGGGGGGAGGCCGAAAAAACATAAATAAGATTCTCTAGTTACTAAGTTGAAAACCTTAGACACAGGCAATACAATAACTATATGGTATAAATATAATAATATAATAATATAGTGACAACTGATCAATTGATTGATAATCAATGAACGATCGATAAATTCTCTTTAAGTACTTATCTGGATTACGCGACGAAGCTAACAGCAATATCGCAATAATTAATATATAATTGTAATATTGTTAATAATAATAGTAGTAATGATAATAATAATAAAGATAATAATACTAATAATGCTAATAACAAATTTGATTGAAGACGGTTCACAATAAACGTACATGTTACATACACATGCAGGATATACCTCCTTACGTAAAAGTTTTTAATAAATATTACCCTAATAAAAGCATAAGTTTGTTAAATATCGAAGTATGTATAATAAATATCACCGTTCCAATTAACATCG